GTCAGAGTAGAACTGTGCCCCCCCACAGGGTTCTTGTTTCATTTTAAGATGTTAGTAAGTTTTCTTTTGCTGCTGTTAAAGAGTATACCCATCACAACATACACTAAATGAACAGTTTCTGCATTACTGATTTAGTACAGCTAGAATGCTTTCTGGAAGCCAGGATGGCCAGACTTCGTGTCTCATACTTCGGTCGTATTGTTCGGAGGGACCAGTCCCTGGAGAAGGATATACTGTTTGGTAGGACTCCCACCTAGATGGATAGGCACAGTGGTTCAGCAGTGAGCTCCAGTGTAGCAATGACCGTGAGGTGGGTGTTGGACCGGGTGGTGTTTCGTTCTGTTGTGCATAAGGGTCGCCGTGAGTCAGTACTGACTCAGTGGCACCTTATCACAACACTTAGTGACCGTTTCTAATCTAATGACTGTCTGTGTCCATCTAGCTGAGATGAAGCTGTAGTCCCAAGTCGAGCACTTTCTGCAGCAACCAGTGGTCAGAAGTGAGGGCCCAGGGGACCCCACGATGTGGTTGGCACCTGCAGGTCTTTACCCCTAAAGTTCCAGCCCAGCTCCAGGTGGCTGGGGTCAGAGGACGGAGTGGTGTGTGAGCCTCTGGCGTCAGGATTAGAACGTTACCCGTGCAACTTGGAGCCTCTGGTACCCACAGAAAAGATGGAGCAATGCTGAAGGAAATGCTAATGTCTGCTTCATCTTGCTCCGTGTTTTTTTGCTCTCTGTGTACTGCTTAGGTACCGATTGTTGTGAAGTGCTGTCGAGTCGGTTCTGACTCATAGTGACGCTGTATAGGGTTTTCAAGGAGTGGCTGGTGGGTTTGAACTGGTGACCTTGAGGTTAGCAGGCCAGTGCTGATCCTATAGTGCCTCACTAGGACACTGTCTTTGGCATGTGTGGATCCTAAAACTACCTCGCAAAGGGTTTATTCTGTTGCTCTGCATGTTTTCTGTAATCCATTCAGAATTAACTTCTAAGTTTGTGAGCATGGGGTCACCTTTCATCTTCTTGCTCTACGCCCATTCCTCATGAGTCCCTGGGCGCTGCAAACCCTTAGCACGTGCGCTCAGTTGCTAACTGAAAGGCTGACCGGGCCAGTCCACTCAGAAGCATCTCAAAAGCAAGCTCACAGTTCTGCTCTGACACACAGAGTCACTACGAGTCCTTGTGGGGTGACAGTCATTGGTTTGGTTTTCGTTGTCTCTGGTCCTTTCCCACAACTCTTCAGGACCTCCCTCGTCTCCCTGGGCCTGTGCGCAGCTTTTGGATGCACCAAGTCCAGCAAGGCACGCCTGCCTGCAAGAGCATCTTGTCTCTTCTGATCCTTTACTTTTAATCGCCCGACAGACTCTGGAGCCAGCATGTCAGGTTTCTGAAAGAAAGCCAGGGTCCGTTTGGGTTTGGAGCAGTGTTGTGATCAGTCTCCGTAGGTCACAGGTGGTAGTGTTGAGTCTGCCATGATCAGGTGCTGCACACCACTCTCTGTAGTACTGTGCTTTCTATTAGGGGCCCCGGTAATGCAGTGGGTTTAGTGTTGGATGGCTAATTGCAGGGTCTGTGGTTTGAATCCACTAGTTGCCCAGAGGGAGGAAGCTGAGGCAGTCAGCCTGTTTCCATAAAGATTGACCGAGTCCTAGACCGGATGGGAACACTCTGCTCGGCCCTGTGAAGCCGCTCTGAGTCCCCTCAGCAGCTGTGGTTGGGTTTGTTTGTGTTTTCTGGGGGTGGGGGGGTGGCACTTTATATTGATAAGGAGAATTGATCCACTTTGAGCGTGTGTAGTTCACAGAAGCCACTCACCCACCATCTCCATTTCTATCCACCCCAATGTAAGTAAGTCTGTCCTGTGAATCGGTCTACACCCCACACCCTGGTGCCCCCAGTATCCTCTGCCTACAGGGATCTGCCCGGTCTACAGGAGAACCTTTATTGGCTCCGCACGTTCTTAAGGTGTGTCCACTTTCTAGACTGTGTCAGTATATCTGTCCCTGCTTCCCTCTGTGCGGACAAGTGACGATGTGTTTACGTATCTGGATGGGCGCTGGCATGTCAGTATCTCCCTCCCTCCCTCTGTGCAGGAAACCCCACGAAGGGTTGCTTGCTTGGAACTGACTCAGCAGTGGGTTTAATGACGAATAAGGTAGCACTGTGGGCAAGGCACTGGCTGCTCACCTCGAGGTCGGTGGTTCAAACTCACCAGTGTTCCCTAGAGGAAAGATGCCGCTTTTTGCTCCCGATTCAGTCTCGGGAGCCCTGTGTAGGGTGAAGTGGACAAAGGACTGATGGTGTGGGCCGCCCTCGCACGGGCTCGCTGGCCTTCGTGTACCTGTTGGAGTCTTGTCTCCATTTCTCTGCCTGTTTTGTTTGCTTTGTGATTATGTAACGCGCCCCCCCCCATTATTGAAAGTCTGAATTGTAAGCAGATTCTTGAGCTGGCGGCGCACAGCCACCCGCTCGCTGCACTCGGGCACCTGGGTCATTTCCAGAACTGCTGCCTTTACCTGAGCTCCATGAGTCTTCCCATGTCACATGTTTCCTCGGCTAACACTCACACCACGGAGAGGGCACACAGACTGGCATGCTGTCTCTGTGTCCTTGCCAGTGCTGTCTGGAATGACTTTAGTCACCACTTCCTTCAAGTCCCTTGTCTGCACCTCTTGGGTCAGGAGCTCCATCATTCCCTCCCGATTTGGCGGACCTCCCGGTGCTGAGC